ACAAAACCCTGCATCTCAATTTTTTTTGCTTTCTTTTTGTTTCGTGTGAAAATGCCAGCTGCTGTTTACATCATGTCAAAACCTCATGATGAATGGAGCAATAGACTTGGTCCAAATATTACAGCAATATATAAACCCATTTAGCCTATAGTTAGGCTCTGCCCATTAATGCTAAAGTTATAAGGAGTGTTTCAGCCTAAACCGCTTTTTCAATGAGGCACAATATAGGGCAGCCTATTAGAACTGAGGTCATTTACATTAGTTTTAAAGAAACAGTACTAAAAATAATCTATTCAGTGCTAAAGAACAAAGAGAGATTTAACTTCTACTGCATTTGGTTTTATGTGAAGAGTCTCTGATAACGTTGAGTAAAGGGTCAGAACGTGATTCTGGATACATTTTTAATTGTGGTCATCTGAATCAATTGACGATACGTGGCAATTCTGTGACGCCTGTGTTTCACCAATCAGAGGTTTGCCCCATCACTAGTTTCACCCATACGTTCTGGCTTGAAAGAATTGGAACCCTGGCAAGAAGGAGAACCAAATTAGTCTGGTCTCGTTCTTGAGACCATTAACCAGTGGTCTTGGTTTCATCTCGGTCTCAACATCATTTGGACTTGTCTCGGTCTCTGGGTAAGGTGGACTCAGAAATTGGTGTCAAGACCAGCAGAATCCGATGCCTCTGTCTGAGGTAACTGGAAGCTGAGTTATTATTAAATATCAACAAAACCAGAATAAACAGAATTAAACAGTCTCTGTATCAGATTGTGTTTTTCTGACTCACCTAATGAGAAGGCTGATTTGGCAGCTACCAAGTGCTGATGTCAGGCTGAAGAGAGGAAAGCTGAGGGGTTCAGTTGGACAGGTTTATTCACTGTGTTTAGTCTCTGAGTGACTGTGTAAGTTGTTGAGTTTTAAACCCCTGAACAAACAGCACAGAGCTGTAGTTACTCGTTTTTAGTTCTCTTGCATGTGAAGCTCAGCACTGCATATTCACTGCTGTATTTCCTTCATTTCGGGTTAAGCTTGCTCTGAAAATATAAACATTTTGCCAGAACTATTAATGAGCTCGATATAATTATAATGTTTTATTTTTGCAAATAATCAACAGTTGTCATATTTAAAGTCATGTTTGGTTAAATGTGTATTGTAAAAATTTTTGCCTTTAAAAAACTGCAGTACTGTCACAGCCCACAGGTTAAAAACCACTGTTGTATGAGTTAAAATAAAATCTGTTGGTTGAGGATCTAAGGGTGTTTTCACACTTGTCCTGAATACTTGAGTCCACACCCAGGACCGATTCTGAGCTCGTATGGGGGAGGAGCTCATTGTCGCAGGTTTGTTTTCACACACAAGAATTCAATCCGAACTGTGGATCGATTGCGCAATCCCATATGTCACTTTTCTGTGCGCAGGTTTGCAGAATGATATGCACTAACTTCACCCGTTTGCTGCTTTTTATTATTGTCTTTGGAAACAAAAACTCAAGTTGCAAAGAACAGTGCTTTTAGTCCACAACAATCTTTCCCCACCATCACAAAACTTGAAAAGGGAAGTACTGCAACACATTGAAGCAGACACGTTACAAAACAAACCAATCACGCAACCCCACACAAGCCATGGGATAGCTTCCACATGTACAGTGGACTGCACCAGAGTTTGCTGGAAGTGAACCCCAGTCCACTGATTTCAAAAGGACGAAAGACTGGTTCTCTGGGCCGCTCCTGGGCTCGAAAAGAGCTTTCACACTTGACCAAACATACCAAACTTGCTGATCAAGCAGGCATGGGTCCAGAAAAAGGCTCTAGAAAATGCCCCAAAGATCTAATTGATCCTTTCCAGGATCTTTGTGTGTTGATGTTCATTGGTTCCAAAGTTCAGACATCCCTGAGGGCAGATCGGAATGTTGTTATTATTATTATTATTATTATTATTCTGTTTTTACTTAATAATAAAAATCGATGTAGGTTAATTAGTCTTTTCATTTTGCTATTCCGAAAAAAATCTTAATCTGGTCTCAGCCTTTACTCCACTACTAAAAGTCTTGGTCTTGACTCAGACTCGACTACTAAAAGTCTTGGTCTTGACTCGAACTCAACTACTAAAAGTCTTGGTCTTGACTCAGACTCGACTACTAAAAGTCTTGGTCTTAACTCGGACTCAACTACTAAAAGTCTTCGTCTTGACTCGTACTTAACTACTAAAAGTCTTGGTCTTGACTCAGACTTGACTATTAAAAGTCTTGGTCTTGACTCAGACTTGACTACTAAAAGTCTTGGTCTTGATTCAGACTTGATTACTAAAAGTCTTGGTCTTGACTCGGACTCGACAACTAAAAGTCTTGGTCTTGACTCAAACTCAACTACTAAAAGTCTTGGTCTTGACTCAGACTCCACTACTAAAAGACTTGGTCTTGACGCAGACTTGAATACTAAAAGTCTTGGTCTTGACTCAGACTTGATGTGTCCTGGTCTCAGTCTTGACTCGGACTTGGCTCTAGCTGTCCAGACTACAACACTACTCTGTACAATGATACAGTTATTGTGAGGAAAAAATGCTGTTATCACAAAGAATAGAATGTAGAACGCTTCTCAACCAAAAGACTGTGTCATCAGAACTTGTATAAACTAGAATAATATTCAGAACACTAAATGCTAAATGGTCTGATCATCTCTGCGCCACTGCACCATGAGCTCGCTTTCTCTCTCCTCCCAGCTTCTGCAAATGGCCTCTTAATTGTTTTATACAGCCTTTACCCGCATGCTTTCCTGCAATTTAGCAGTGTGTGTGTGTGTGTGTGTGTGTTTAAGAGGAAATCCATTCGGCCTCACTGTCTGGCTGAAATGAAAAGACTTTCAGAAACATCCATTAGCTACAAGATCAAAGGCCAGTACCTCTCAGAGCACACACACACACACACACACACACACACACACACACACACACACACCATGCAAGCATGTCCAGTCATTATTTTGGACTTATTTTTCAAAGTGAACATGATCCTTTGCCCCAGTAAAGTATCCATATCGCAACGCTTACCCCTATTTTCTACAACCTCAGTGTCACAGATGGCATAAATCATAGATTACAATTTAATTAATACACTTAACAATTTTTATTTTATTTCAGTTACAAATCAATCAATTTGGGCCAGCATGTCAAATGTCCACTTTGACCTGTATTTAAATGAAATCAGTTCAAAGACAAGATATTTAATTCTTTACCTTATCGACTTCATTATTTTTTGTAAATATGCACTCATTCAAAAATCAATGCCTGAAACATGTTTTATGTTTGAACAGCAGCAATTTAAGGCTAGAAGCAAGTGATGAAATTATACTTTAGTATAAACGGAGCATCCAGGAAAGGCCTAGCCGAGCAAGAATGTGTCAATGTCACTACTTTGCCAAAAATGTGTCCATGATTAATTCAACAGTTTTAAAAATAACATAGCTCAACTTCAAGAATTTTAAGTACTTCAACAACCAACTTCAAGAATTTTAAGTATTTCATCCTCTACATCATCAAAAGATTCAGAGAATCCAGAGAAAAGACAAAAGCCGAAATACACAAATGAATGCTCATGACCTTCGACCCCTCAGACAGTGCGGCATAAAAAACAGGCATTCTTCTATAATGAATATTAGCACATCAGCTTGGGAATACTTTGAGAAACCATTGTAAATAAACACTGTTCATTGTTACATCCACACATGAATGTTAAAACTGCACTATTCACAGTGGAAGCCACGTGTCCACAGACTCCAGAAACGCTGCTGACTTCTCTGGGCTTGAGTTCACCCGAAACAAACTGATGCACAGTGGAAATGTGTATTGTGAGTCAACCTTTCAGATTGCTTCGGGAAATAATGTATGTTGTGGACCATCCAGACTGTTACCAGCATAAAGTTCAAAAGCCAGCGCATGGGAGTGTATTAAAACATCAAATATTATGTTTTTGTACTGTCTTCAATTTAATGGAAGTTAAACAGAATTTACTGACTACTGTTTCATGTTTTTATTGCCATTTCACACACTGTACCAACTTTTTTGGAATTCAGGTTTGTAGTTTACTTCACTTTAATGTAGCATATATGTCTGTATAGCTTCACTGACAAATTCCTATTTTACATCTATAACACATTTTGCATACATAATTATAGAACTGACTTAGACACTAAGGTGAATGGACATCATCAGAGATTGTGTGTGTATGTGTGTGTGTGTTTGACCCTGTAGTACACTGACCTGAATTATTCCGTCTTTATATCTCTCCCATGCACACACATACACACATTACAGTTTGTATTCCTGTCTTTACGAGGTCTTTCCACTGATTTCTGTATTACTGTAGGTTAACACTGCAGTGGTGATACATAAACCAACACCAAGCTTAACTAGGAACAAAAATGAATTATTTTGCTGTTTAGCTTTTCTAAAAAAAAAAAGCTTTTTTGTTGTATTATAATTCCAAGAGGAACCATCCAGATGTATTTTCATGTTTTCCACAGGACTGGGACATATGGTCCCCACAAAGCACTAAATACATGGAATGTGTCAGATCTTGGTTATTGATTAATGATTGGGTAATTGAAGCTCTCAGTTTGACCTGATGCGCGAGGACACCGAGAGGTAGCAGAGAGAGAGAGAGAGAGAGAGAGAGAGAGAGAGAGAGAGAAAGAAACGAAAAAGCAAGGAGAGAGAAGATATGAAAACGGAAAGTAACAGCGAAAGATAGAGAAAGTGGGTGAGAGAAAAAGACAAATAAAGAGAGTGATACAGAGAAACAGAAAAAGAAGAGAGACAGAGAGAGAAAGTGAAAAAGAAAGAAGAGAGAAGGAAAGAAAGCGAGTGAGATAGAGAGAGAGGAGACAGACGGAAAAGCAAGGAGAGAGAAGAGAGAAACGGAACGAAAGAGAGCGAGAGATAAAGGAGAAAGTGAGTGAGAATAAGAAAAGGAGAAGAAAATAAGGAGAGTTAGACGGAAAGAGAAAGAGTGGGGAGAGAAATGAGGTGTGAGTGAAGAGAAAGGAGGAGAGACATAAGGAGAGAGAGAGAGAGAGAGAGGGCGCCCACGTCGTCCGCCTTCATGAGCATACGCTCAGTGCGGAGAGAGCAAGAGCGCGAGACAGGGAGCGCGAGAGCGCGAGGCGAGATAGATAGAGCGAGAAAAGGAGAGAGAGAGAGAGAGAGAGCAGTGCTGTGTCAGTGCGAGACTCGAAGCAGCTCTCCATCCACTCAGCGCGGGAGAAGAGAAGAGGCTCGCGCGACAGCGCTGCGTTCTGAAGGTGACGATGCTCTAACGGTTTCTCCTCAAACCGTCCTTCGCCTCTGATGTCGGTGTTGGTTCGCTCACGGTCTATATCTCTCTTTCTCTCTCTCTCTCCCTCTGTCTCTCCGTTTCTCCGATGCAGATGCTCCGCGCTGCGCTGCTGCTGCCGCTGCTGGTGTGTGTGTGTGCGTGTGTGGGTTTGTGCTCGGCGGCGCTGCCCGGAGCCTCCGGCCGCGACGACAGCGGCAATTTTCTGGACGACAAATGGCTGACAGGACGGTGGGACAAATTTCGAGACGTGAGTAGCGTTTTACGGTGTGGCGTTAACGGTCCAGCTTCTCTACTGCTCGGTGTTTTGTTGTGTGTGTGTGTGTGTGTGTGTGTGTGTGTGTGTGTGTGTGAGAGAGTGAGTGTGTGTGTGTGTGTGTGTGAGAGTGTGTGTGTGTGTGTGTGTGTGTGTTTACTGCCCGTGTCGCGGTTTTAGTTGGAACTAGCTGTGGGGCTGAAATTGTCTTCTAACTCTCCAGCTTCTTATTCGAATAGTCCACCTTAAATGCTGCAGCAGTCACATTCATTTAAGGTGGAACGGACATATTGAATTAAAAAGGCTCCAGGTTGTTACCCGAGGCGCCTTCTCGTTCGAATTTTTCCGTTCCACCTTAAATGGTGCAGCAGTTATGGTGCACCATTTAAGGTGGAACGGAAAATTCGAATGAGAAGCCAACTTCACCTTCGTGAGCTAGCTTAGCGTTAGCCTGGCTCGGTCCTCCGCAGTGACTGCTCGCCTCTCTGTGCGATGACCCACCGTTAGCACAGCCGTGAAGCCCTCAGCGCCTCCTCAGCACAGGTGTAGGTCAGTCATGAGCTGAAGGAGACGTGTTTATGTGTGCATTTAGCTCACTGTGAGGGCCAAACGACTAAAAGGACACTTGAAAATATGAAACGTTCTGGGGACATTTGTCTTTTATTTCTATGTTTATTTTCTTTTCCTTTCTTCTCCTTCTTAGTAAAAAAACAAATTTCAGTTTTAAAAGCAAAAGATTTCCTTTTGGTTTTTGAGGGATACAGGCGATTACACATTAACCTTGGACCATAATGTAGCTTAACTTCAGACAAATTAATACCACCTGCTATAAATAATATCATTGTGATCCAAATTTAGCTACAGCATACAGTATGTAAGCGTTGCAGGGCCTTGGGCCGCTGTTCGATCAGTTTGTCCAACTCACTGAGTGGTCCAACTGAGCATGCGCATATCGTAAGAATAGTGTAGCAAATTAAAGTAAATTGTAGTAAATTAAGCCGCCAGTAGAGTTGAGTTGAGTCATACCATGGGGCCAAATTTATTTTAAACGTTTTATTGTGTTTTCATGTTGATTCAAGGCAGACTCAGCTTAGTATCACTACTGACCCCCTGATAAGATGATTCAGGTTATCATAATTATTCTTTTAATGCCGGTAACATTTCTGATACGGTTGTTAAGGTGGTTTTATATACAGAGAGCTACCTATAAATATGCGCTACTTTAGGACTTTTCGACAAGGTGGCACAATTCATCAGAATACCGGCACTATACTTAAAATGATGAAAGAACTGAATGGAATCAAACTACTTCCAAATGCGCAGTTGTAAATATACTTAAAAAGAGCTTCACAGAACTGCTAGAGGCTCCGTCCAGTGACGCTGGCAACCTTGTGATGCCATGTCGGGGGAAGTCTGAGAACAAATGACATGGTGGGCCAACGGCAGTAGCTGTACATATGTATATATCTGCTGATGCCACTACATAAACATTGAGAAAATGTAGAAAATGGGACTGAATCTACTTGGATTAGCATAGCAGAGAAATATAATGTTTATTTCTGAGTAAGAAGTGCAGTAGAATTAATAAAATAGAGATATTACAGAACAGTAGGCCAGCTTCACCTAACCATTCTGCTCTTCCGGAGTACAATAAATATGTCACCAAATATAGGTTTGGAATATCGTTCATATCCGAACATCTGTGCCAATATTTTTAAAAGCAATTATCTTCAATACTTCATTTTCACCACTTGTAAACTCATGTTTAGTGTGCAAAATATCATCAGTCATGTGTGAATGAGCTCTTTGAAGGCCTTAAGGTTAAGGTTGGTTTATGTGTAGTTACAACAGCATTTAGCTACTGTAATACAGGAGTAAATGGAAAGTCCCCAGAAAGGCCAGAATACAAACTCGTGTATGTGTATTAGAGACATGGTCACAGAAGTATAGTGCTCGTCCTTGTCTTAACAATGCTGTCATTCTTTAAGAGCACAAAACCATGTGAGCCTAAGGGCCTCAGTGTTCAGTGATGGTCACTCTTGTGGGCCAAATTAAGCATCTGTGACTCAGATTAAGCCCAGAGCCCGGACTTGGACAAATTGTTACCGGACCTTCTGACCTGAATCACTTGTAGTCATGCACTTTAATTGTGTCCACAGAGACGGGTGTTATAATTTCTATGGGAATATAAGCTTTGGATGGATGGATGAATCAAACGGTTATGTTGTTTTCGACCAACTCTGTTAGGTCCTAAATAATGGCTGTATAATCCACTTTATTTATTCATAAACAGATAATGTTTAATGATATTTAACCCAGAGCCTGATGATATCTGTTGCACCGGAGGACTTCCAGTTCCGCCTCTGTGTGTGTGTGCGTGATAATGATGTTTATGTAAGGTCTGCAGTTTAGACTCTCACATAGGCAGCTTGCTACAGTATTTCCAGGCAAAGCCGAGTCAGCCAACGCTGTCTCGCTAACTTCATCCTGGAAGCAGACCAAGATAGCTCTTCCCCTCTCTCACTGTCTATCCCTGTGTCTCTTTCTTTCTCTCTCACACTCTCCTCCTTTCTCAGTTCAGTATGTGCATAAGTGTGACCACTAGCATTGCCAAAACATGGACAGTAAAAGCTAATTAAACTGCTTAGAAACTAAAACATGCAGGTTAAGGACAAGCTTTCGCATTTGAATATTATGAAAGTAAATATATAACAACAGTGAGTGAGTGTAAATGTAAAGATTAGAGTGTATATTCTACAGCCTTTCAGTTCAGTACACGAGTATGACCACCAGCCTTGAGGTCAGTGATGACAGCGAAAGCTAATTATGGCACTCACATACTCAACAACGGAGATGTCAGCTAGGAAATCATGAAAGCAACACAATAATGAGTTCATTTAAATGTGATGACGGGTTGTAGTCTACAGAGGCTGTAATGGGAAAGCAGAAGAGTGTACAGCGTGTGCCAATGCCCTGCTCCTGGTTGCATGTGTCTAACTGTCTCCTGTTAAAGGGCAGTAAAGATTAGTTGAGACTGTCCATGTGACACTTCAAGGCCAATCAGTTAACAGAAAGAGATTTATGCAGATTAGTATCTCGCTAAACATGACTTAATGATGCTCAGTTTAACGAGGGAAAACTGGGTAAATGAATACAGGCAGTAAACACCTGACTATTAGCTTAGTCATTTACATTAACACTTTAGGATTTCAGCTGCATTTGAGCGTAAATGAAGGAAATGCCAAGTGGTGTGTGTTTGTGTATGCAGAAAAGCTCTTGGACACACATTTGCAGTGCTGCCAGTAGGCCACATCACTCACACCCTAATCTCAGATTCCAGAATTTTGGAAAATCGTACTTTAGGCAACCCATCCTGATGTTCTTGGCGCAGATACCTCTCTATGAGCTGGAAATCACATTTGTAACCCCGCCTCTCCCTTTCCTAAGCCCCTCCCACTCCACTGTTCCTGCTCTCCTAATGCCCTCCCACTTGTACGTCCTCACACAGAATTATACATGGGTGCTGTCAGCTTCTATGGTTGTGAGAATGTGACTGCAAGCACACAATCATGCATTACAGTGTTAAAACAAGACATGCATTTATATGCGTGTGTGAATATGCGTGTGTATGTACTTCAACGTCAGCTGTAATTTTGTACGTCAAATGTGTACGTATGCATGGTAAGGGCATATGCATGTATATGTACTGAAACCTCGGGCTAAACAAGGCTTGGTTGGGTGCATGTTGTGCCTTCATAAAATATGAACACCAGAGTTTGAACACCACAGCAGTGAAATCTCCCCCAAGGGGTAAAATGAATGTGTTTATTAAGTGCATGTGAGACACATCTAAAATGATGCGCGTGTGTGTGTGCCCACGCTTTGATCCTCGTGTGTTATGACATGTGCCTGGCAGAAGCCGTGTGTCTGATTTTCCTCGGGAGACCCTCATGAGATTTTAACAAACCCAAATTTCAAAACCTTTCGCACCTGGTAGAATAGAATCTCATATTACTGTCAAATTATTACGCTGTATTATTTCATATGCAGCGATTAAGTGAGATTTAATTTAGGCATGCTAGGAAAGTGGTAATATTATCTATATTGTAAATGTTGATATTAGGATTATAAAAGACAGTTTATTAGGGTGTTTGGAGCCAGATGTCTCCTGGCAGTCCTATATGTGCACAAGTTATGTAAGAACAAGATTAGGGCTGTCATTGTCGATTATAAAGCTTTAAAAACAAACCCAAACACAAGAATAAAAATGAACTAAATAATAACAAACCATAAACATCAAAACAGTAATGAACCATCATACATGAACTAGGAAAGGGACAGGAACTTATATATATGTAATATAACATATTTTTGATTTAGGACTATTTCGAATAATTTGAATACTTGAGTATTCGCCGGTTGTGTTGATTTGCAGATTCAATATTTAATATTTGGAGGTTTTGTTGTTTTTCAAGTTACAAAAATGGGGAATAAATAAAAACTAAATTATACAGTCGCCTCTAACAACAATTTTTACATCACTGTTGAAGCAAAAGGGCAAAGATGCCTGAGAAATCATGTGTGGGAACACATTATATTATCAGGCAATAAGAAAAAACCTCAGTGCAAAGCTTACAAAGAGAGGTTGGTATGAAGTCACAAAATTATTTCAGATATATAAATATTGTAATCTCAGTACTGCTGGTCTCTGGTGATGGCTATGCTAAAACCTGGGAGCTCCCAGCCTCAGAACTGTTTGTTGTGGTCAGTTCTGGCATTGGATGAGGAGAAGACAACTGGCACTTTTGCTGTCACGTCTTCCTTTGTTTCCAAGGTGGTGCTGGTCACGTTCAGTCGGGCCTGTATTTCCAAAAGCTCCTCAATCCTCTGCTCCACTCTCTGTAGCTCAACTATGACTGAGCACAACTCAGCCCTCACTGCTGATTTCCATACTAAAAAAACTCAGTAACATAAAAAAGTAACTAACTAAAATG